CAATTGGATCCAGGTGTAGCAGCAGCCCACACAAGCAAGGTCAAGTCTGCAAGGGATTGTGGGAATTGAGGAAGTGATGCTTTGAAATAAATCCTGGGAAATCCTGTTTTCTTTATTATTAAAAGTGACCCAAATGTGCTGAAACTCATTGGACTCCAATAATGTATATGGCCAAAGCGAATGGAAAGATATTCTCGATTAAAGGCTTTACTCACTTAAACATAAACCCTGTTCTTTGAAAGTAGCTGCTATTATGTTCATATTCTTGATGTTTAAAACATGCAACAAATGCAGGTAAATATTACCAAAAACGTGTTTTTGTTATAAAGAATTTACTATAAGAAAAATCTATATATTTTATCTGTGTTTTCTGGTCATGCACTTGATTGCTCTTGAGAAAATAAACTGTGTTTCCTGTCTGTCTGCGACAATATATTCTCTGTCTCACTTTGCTCTGGGCTTGGATTTAGAAGGAACATCAGTGGGGGTTTCTGTACATGTTTACTAGTGCTTATACAAGTGTAATGAGGCAGCAAATTTAATTACAAAAAAATGCTTTGCAATTGAAAAGGTGCAGAATGTAATATTTGGCATTCAACCTTCCTGTAAATTGGTAATTTGAAGGAAAATGATGGAGAGAAGAAACATTCACTGGGGGCAGATGTTGAGAAGTTGTCCTGCTTACTGAAATGGTATCACAAGACATTGGTAACTTTCAAAACCCAAGGTGAGCTATGGATTTTTAATCGCCTGACTGCAAAATAATGTACTCCAAAATCAAAAGTATTGCAACAATTCGCAATTTTTAAGACCAGATGCTGAAATGAAGTTCAGTTTCGTGCTGTGATTTATTTTCCGCCGGATTATAGATAACAGTACCACTCGGGTTGGTATGGTTTTGCTCTACTCACCATGGTTCGCATTGGTGGTTCATGTATTGGCTCTGAATGGGCTTGGTTTGGACATAACACTCAAGGCACATCCCTTCGCTGCATCTAATTCTGCTCAGTGACTATAGCAAATGCTCAACCCTCCAAAATAAATCAAAAGAGGAAGAAGAGCCGCACAACTCTGAGCACTCAATGTTGAAGGAGTGGTATTTTTTTATGCTGTACATGTAATGGTTTATAACGCTTAAATAAAAACCTTAGTTTAAACGATGGATTTTCATGCACAGATGATTCTTTCTGACCAATCAGTGAGCTCAACAACTGACCTATCAGGTATCAACAGCATGCTTTCTTTCCAATCAGAGAATAGCATCACCTTGGTCTGACTTATAGAACCTCGTCAAAATATGATCTAAAAATAGCACAAAATTGTATAGAATGCAGTGGAAAAGGCACCAAGCGGATGCCTGGTTTGTGTAAATGCATAAACATCTTTTTTATGTTGTGCAGAGCAAACTTGCACAATAAAGCAGTTTCAGTGACGTGGTCTGTTAATGAACCCCAATAAACACTTTGTAAAAGTTTGACTGAGCACCCCAGATGGGACTCGAACCCACAATCCCTGGCTTAGGAGGCCAGTGCCTTATCCATTAGGCCACTGGGGCACAAGCTTGTTTCTAACGTGTAGTATTGTGACTGCTGACAATTCTAAAACTTCCAAATTGTAGATGAACTGGCTTTCAAAACAATCTGATCAACCCATGTGAAAAAATTGCATTGTACGAACTCAAAATGTCCACCCCAGATGGGACTCGAACCCACAATCCCTGGCTTAGGAGGCCAGTGCCTTATCCATTAGGCCACTGGGGCTCAGTTTCCATTCTATTATTACTGTGAAGGCTAAAACAATACAGTCCTTTCTTTCAAACCAACAGCCTTGTTTTTGCACAAGTTCAGTCTGCTCGCCACAAATCACACTGACCACTAGAGATGGGACTTAAAGCCACAATTCATTTCTTAGAAGCCCAGTGCCTTATTCATTTGGACAATGGGACACAAGTTCTTTTATAATGTACGGTATTGTGACTGATAACAATTCTAAAATGTACAAAATGTATGTGACCACAGACCTGGCTTTCGAAACAACTGTCTTTGTGTTGTAAAAGGTCAGACTGATCAACCCATGTGGAAAAAAATGTATTGTACAAACTCAAAAATGACCACCCCAGATGGGACTTGAACCCACAATCCCTGGCTTAGGAGGCCAGTGCCTTATCCATTAGGCCACTGGGGCACAGGGTTTACATATAGGAGTAGTAGTGTGACGACTAAAAGAATAGTCCTTACTTTCAAACCAACAGCCTTATCTTTGCACAAATTCAGACTGCTCGCCTCAAATTACACTGACCACTACATGCACTACTGGCATAGGAGGGGTTGTGCCTTATCCATTAGGGTACTGGCACAGATTCTTTTCTAAAGTGTTAGAAAAATAGTAAAAGAATATATATGACCACATACTTACGAAACAAAAATCTTTGTGTTGACTGATCAACTCATGCGAAAAGTGAGTCTGCGTACCCCAGATGGGACTTCAACCCACAATCCCTGACTTAGGAAGCTAGTGCCTTATGCCCACAGTTCTTTGACTAAACAACAGAGGGTGATGTCATGCTGAACAGTGGGATTGATCTCGACAACCAGCTTTTTTTCCTTCTATTAAGCTGTAAGTGATGATTGTAGAGCTTTCTGATTGACTCGGGTTTCGTTCAGGCAGTCTGTTATGTGGGGTGTTATCATTGAAGCATCAGGTTAAAGGACAAATAGAGTTCTCTGTCATCAGTATACAAAATCAATGGTTTAATATCCAGGTTTCTTGAATATATTACTACATTAACCCTGACAAATCCATCCTGTGCCTCTAACTTGAGTTTCTAGATTAGATTTGGTAACACTATTATTTGGTTCGGACCCTTCAGAGAACTATCCTTTTTTATCTTCAAGCTTGAAAGCAAGCCTCTGTAATCTGTGAGAGCTTTTGGAATCAACTCTTCCACCTTTCCTCATTCGCTACAGTCCCAAGCGAATCAGATTCATGCAAATGTTTGATGTGTGGATGAACAGAAAGTCTGTGCTCAACATCTGCTCCAGATTCTGCTTCAAACACACTCTTTACAAAGACTCCATCTGTATGTGTGTGTCTCAATACATCGTCATCTTCCTCACACCCACAGTGTTACATGTAAAGACCCCTGTCTGTGTGTGGGTCAGGGAGCAGATACTCCTCTCTATCAATTAAGGATGGGAACATAACTTACCCAATAGGGTCTAAAGTGCACTTCAGTTGTAGGGCTTCACAAATAAATGCCTCTAATTTGATATTGTTGCTTTTATATTGGCAAAATAAAATGTAAATGCTTATTTATAACATACATACAAACGTGCTGAAGCGATCAAGCTTTCACTAGTTATTCATTGAACTAAGAACAATATTTAATTATGCCTTATACTGGATCATTAGTCAAAATGGCAAGAAAACCTACTGAAATGCCAGTTAACACATAGCGGAAGGTGCTAATATACAGGACAAAAATAAATATATATGTATTGAAAATGAAATACATATGCAGTTAGAAATTTTCTTGGCCATTTTTCCTACTCGTGGTTAGTGGTTGAGTGAAGCCATTTATTGTGAAACAACAGTGTTTATTCTTTTTAAATCATAATGAAACCATTTGAAACCGATCCATTGTGTTTTGGATCGTTGTCGTGTTGGAATGTAATCCTGTAATGACTCAGTGATGAGTGCAAATTTTCCTTACGTATCCTTTCATAAAATGCTGCATTCATCGCCCCACCAATTTCAAAACGGTTTCCTGTGCCTTTGGAGCTCACACATACCCAAAGCATCAGAGACCCACTTCTGTTTATCAAAAAGTTCAATTTTGGTCTCATCGCTTCAAATAAATGGTTTACATAAGCTGAAATAAGACAAACAAATGAAAAAAATAGAGTGTGAAATGTTAAAAGAGAAAGTTTGTAACTAATAATACAATGACAATCATATGAAAATGCTAATAATAGCCATTAAACAAGGCATTTTAAAACATTTTGCATGTTTTAATATATTGTTGCAATACTCTATAGCTTATTACATTGATGTTGAGAAAACAAAAGGCCAAATTTCTAAAACAAGTGTAAAGTTTTCAGTTTAGTTTCCCTAAAAAAGGACATTCGTTTGATAGCTTTACATCTGACCGCAACACTATCCCATCCTTGTGCTCTTAGTATTGAAGATGAGTCAACACAACGTCGTTGGGAGCCCCCGATAATTTTTTAGAAGTTTTTCATTAACTACAATTGCCTCCAGCACGGAAACCATTAGTCAGGTCAAAAGATGATTATCAATGAGGCACAGACTCAGGAAGATCGCATGAACTGGGATCTGTTTGTGAGAGAAGACTAAACCAGATTTAATATTTCTACACCCTTTCCACACACAGCTTTAGCACTCAACAAATTCCAAGTAATTAAACAATACAGAAAAGCATTAAGAATAGACTGTTCTTCTAGTAGACTGCTGAGAAGATTAAACCACTTGAAAGAGAACACTATCAGTTTCTGGAACAATCTGGAGAAATAGAGCTTTCAAAGGGAGACCATTGTCAGTAGAGCTTATTAAACTACACATGTGTATAAGGGTTTATCCGTTGAATAAATACAATGAACCCTTGGAATCACACCTACAGCTATTAAAAATATATATTAAGTGCTAATAGTGTGGAACGTCAATATTCTGAAAGCATGTTGGTGAAAACCGTTGCCATTAATTCTCATGAATTCCATGAAAAGCCAACACAAGACATTTTTTTTAAATGAGAGAACAATAACAATAGATGCCACAATTATGATGCCTGCTGGAATAAATGGTAAAAAAAGGGTAACCTAGTAGACCGTGTTTGAAAATAGGGTCAAGACTGATAGATACAAGTTAACAACTAAACATATGACAATAGTGTAGACAAAAAATATTTACATTTATGCATTTGGCAGATGCTTTTATCCAAAGCGACTTACATTTGAATGAACATATTTTTGTCTGTCAGTTCTTGCTTTCCCTGGGATTTAAACTGAGAACCTTTGTGTTGATAGCACAATGATAGCACAATGCTCTACCAACTGAGCCACAGGAAAGTTTACTATATTAAACTTTTTCTGTGGATCCAGTGACTCCTAGTTTCAGTGGAAGTCATGACATTTTTACAGAGTAGGAAAACAAGTGATCAGCAGTGGACACTGGAGCTGCAATATATCTCTGATCCTTTACTCTGGGAGTGTAATGTTGAGGTCAGGTACAAATCAGAAAGCCTGTCTGTTTTCTTAAGCCGCTCAGTGTTTCCAAGGCTGATTTACACTAGAGAAAGAGCTTGAACCTGAACATTGACTCCGGTCAAAGACGGGGGTTGTATTCCACCCAAGGGATTAAAAAATGAGCTTTGAACCATTTCTGGAATAAATGAGATGATAATTACACATTGATGAATTTTAAACGTGTGAGCTTTTAGTTTTAAACATGTGAAATTAACATTTAAGCGTGCAAGTGTAGACTGGGAAAATAAATTAATTTTAACCCTGAACTTATAACTGGATTTTTTCATGTTAAAAGTTTAGGAAGGTGGTAACGTATATGAAAACAATTTAATGCAATGGATTTTTAAAGTGAACTGAATTGAAAAAGCAAAATAGCAAATTTTCGCATCCCAAACTAATAAAATAAAAAATAAAATCCACTTTTCCACACATGAAATGACTGAAGGATGACTATAAATCTCAGAAAAAACAACTAAAATATTAAATTTAAAGTTTACAAATGGAAAAACGTCCTGCATGTATCGTTTAGAAGCACAAAGATTTGAATCAATTGTTGGAATTGAGTTCATTTTATTTAATTTAGTTGTTCATTAATCAGATTTTCTAATGCTGTGCTTACTTTCTCATTTTGTAAGCTATATTATAATTTATAGTTTAAAATACTTATTAAAACATCTGCTGTATTCATTTCAGTACAGTTAACACCCCAGTGAGACCAGCATTGTGGGTATAACAGCTTGCTTTCTGTACTTTTCATAACTTAATTTCCAGCATGCACTTCTATTTCAAGGGAATGATGGGAACTGTAGAGTCTTCAGGTATATTATATTCTGGCCTCTTTCCCAAACACCTCTTTCAAGCAAGGGCTCAGTGGGTGGTTTGGAGAAAAGCTCTCATAAATTCTCGATAATTAAATATGCATCAGATCTGAATGTCCTAAGAACATTGCAAGTGTGTTTTAAAGATATGTGAGAAAGAACTTTGTAGTTACTCATTGGGAGCATTAGAAGGTTTTTTATCTTTATTGAAAGGACAGTAGTTATTGACAGGAATGGAGATGGAGGGTTGGGAAATAATCATATTTTGATTGTGCGACACATTTGCACTTACATGTCACAATTACACCCAATGCATCAGTTTTAATAGTATAGCGCTTTAAGTAAAAGATGTTTGAGGCATTTTAATTAGCTTTTTTCAGGGGGGGGCAGTTTATTAAACACAGACAAAAGATATTTATTGCTTTTAATTTATAAAGTAATTACCATTTGTGTTGATCAAATAAACCATGATAAACATGATAAATCATTAATTGCTTTTTTAAGATAAATAAAATTCATGCACATACATTTACAGAATTCTCCAACATTTTTTATATTATTTATGGTTCTGTATTATTGTTAAGAGTTACTATGTAAGTCTCGTAAATTTGATGTAATTTTTTTGCAATAATGCATGAGTTATGTGCGCAAGGAATTACACAGAGATATATCTCATTTTCCCAAAACTAAGATGATAAGGTATTTTCTTTGGAGTCTGCGACAAGTACAACAATGAGCAGAAATACTTCTGAGCCTAAAACCAAACAATGATTCATCATTACATTTACACGCCTGTTTGGAGTCCATAAAACATACTGTACATCAAGCAAGAGTGCTGCAAGTGTACTCAATTCCTGGTGTTGAAAATGTACGGCAAAAAAGAGGAAGGAAGTAACAAGTTTGTTTTACATGATACCACATGGTTGTGTGTATTTCTGTGTTTTCAGGTGTGTAATAATGAATAATAATTAAAGCCAGATCTGTGAGAAAATGTAAAAAAAAAACACTGTAAAAAATCAAAGTTGAGTTAACTTAAAATTTTAAGTTAAGAACCTGCAAAGATAAAAACATTTTTTTTAATTTTTCTTGAAAGCAACCTTGTTTTGATGTAACCACCAATTTTTGAAAATGACGTCTCAAGTTGCATCATTTTGAAAACGCTGGGAACTCTGCATACATGTGGATAACAAACTGGTTTTCCTAGATAATGCAGGTGAGGTTTGTTAGTCATCATATCCTGAGCTTGGCATCGCTACATTTTTATCAAAGATAACGTGTAATGGCAGACAAAGCAAGGACAAAGAGAGGTGCCAGTGTTTTTTCAAACTCAATGCTTAATACTGACTTACAGCCTTTACAGCATTTGATGTGGTTTCTGGGATTCTGTGTGGATGCAGTTTTTTATAAAACCTTTTATCGTGTGAGCATGACCTAAGTCAGATCATTAGTGGATTATAGTGAATTTAAACACAGATTGAGTTGATTTTAACTAACCCAAACCAGTTTATTTTAAAAAAAGAATTACTGTGTAGTTTGTTCCTCTCAGTTCTGGTGTGGACATTAGATGCAAAACCAAAATGTTCACTCCATCATACCCGGTTTTATATCCAGAGAACTTTTGGGAAAAGGTAGGATACACCGTTCACTACCGGAGATTGATCAAGTGGATTCCAGACATTAACACAATCTAGAACTGCACGAGATTAGTTATAGAACCATGAAATGTTTGAAAGCAGTTTGATGCATGCATCACTCACAAGCCCGCTGTTCTCCAGTTTTCATGGAAAACAGCTTCTGGATGAAAGCCCAGATTCCATTCAAATGCTCGGTTAAACGCTCACAAATGTTTTCTCTCAACGGCTGGTGCACTATTGTGGGGGCTCCCAGCCCCATCCCCACAGCTCCTGAGGGTCCAGGACGCCCACGAGACTCATCTTCCCTCTGTTCACATGTACAAACATGTCCCATCTGAAGCAAAGCCCACGCTGAGAGATCAGTGGGAGTGTGGCGGACGTCCCGCTCACATGGAAATCAGGAACAACTTGACTCTCAATGGATGAGCTTCAGTGTCTTAAACATGACTCAATCCCTACAGAAAGCTCAGTTCAGGGTCCAAGAACTCTATTTTAGATTCTCCAATTGAAAGTCATCTGTAATATTGAAAGGAAAGCGAGGCTCTCAGGGGATGAAACCATTCGTCATTGACTGGATCTTTTTTAGGCAGGCTGGAAATCTGGGATTCAGCCTGGAGAAATTTATATCGGTCAGGAATTTTTTTTTTTGTGAATTAGCTACCAATAAATTCATGAAAAAGGGAACACAGCGCATTATTTAAACCAAATAAATGCCACAGCGCCTTGGTAATCAGAGTTCTCCTTTAATGGTCTCCATGTGTTTGCATGGCTTTCCTCCAGTTCCTTCCTTCACAATGTAAAAACAAAGGTGGACTGGTGACCAAATCATACACAAGAGGGAATGCTGAGTGTCCATGGACTGGTGTTTGGTCTGCAACAAACTGATGGACCGGGGTGTTTCCCTTTCTTTTTCCCACTAGAAACTGAAACTTTTGCATAAATATCTATAAAAATATTCATGACCACAACTTAATGATCTTGGAGCTCTCTTGTTCTCCGAATTTATGTCATGATCACAATGTAACACAAAATAAAAACATTTAATGATTTCCACTGTAAACTTAAAAAGTAAAAAAAAACTTTAGTGGAAAACTGATTCTTTCAAACATTTGACTCGACAAACCCTACTTTTTAGTAAATCATCAGTATTTTTTTTTTTAAAGAAACAGTTTTCCTCACTCTCTAAATCTTTACGTAGTTCACAATCAGGACGTGCAAGGCTTACCGGGGGGGTTCGAGGGGTAAATCAGCCTATAAGGACATGAGGTAATTGAATAACTAATGGGCATCACATAGTAATTTTGTCTCCCGAAACATGTTTGATTAATTAAACAATCCTTAATCAAATCGACCTTGTAAGCTGTCTTTTAAAAACTATTTTCTAATATTAAATGAATAAATGACCGGATCTATACATATAGTCATATATTGCATACTCTATAAGATATAAATGACCGGATCTAGATGCAAAACAACAATAAGACATTTGACTGATATCTTTTACAAACCAAACCGCTGAGCTGAGAATTTCCAGGACAGTAAATCAATCGTTAATACGACACAAACATGGAAAAAAGTCATTGATTATACCATGTATTTTTATGGCAAAATCAATTCAGTAAAAGCTCAAACATTAAATACAGCTAGCACTGAGTCAGAGAAACACTTAGAAATAAGAATAAGACTTATGCAAAATAAATATTTTTAAGAACGATATTTCCACCAAAAAGAGAATTTTCTGCCCAAATTCTTAACGTCACACATTCTGTCTCCAGAGTTTAGTCTAGTGAAGTAGTCAACCAATGAAAAATCAGCTGATTAAAAAAATACTTTTAAATGACTATGTTTAAGCTATGCACAGAAAAGTTAAAAATCAAATCTATTACTTTCCTCACCACATTTAAAAGAGATCATTCTTCACACACACACACAGAAAAACTAACAAAATTCAAGAAAGCCTACAATAACTGGCTTTCGAGTTTCCAAGTTTAGGGCACAAATATGTGCCAACTAGCATTCTTTAGTTGCAAAGTATCCAAACAATTTTCTCAGCCTTTTAAAGTGCAAGTTTCAAATGAAATACCCCTGTACGCTAGTCCAGCCTGGTGGGATTCTGTTTTTAATGACTGCAAAACTTCTGGTTATTTTATCAGGAAAAAATTAACTAACATCTTCAAAAGATCTGATCTCATTGGCCAGCTCTTCTAAATAACTCCTTGTTATAATTAGCTGCTGGCAGATCCATCAAACACTTAGAGAACTCACAGAAAACTATTTAAGGCATGCTAATTAAAAAAAAAAAACATTTGAGGGTTCATGTCGAACATTCTAGGTTTGAATCCGGTCCTATAAAGAATTCAATTTCACAATCTC